TCTCTCTCTCTCTCTCTCTCTCTCTCTCTCTCTCTATGTAACTAAACCAGTTCCATTGCAGGATGAATGGGTTGTGTGTAGGGTCTTCTACAAGCATGCAGGACTGAAGAAGAGCTCACCACCTGCGATCAACTCCAATGGAGATGATCTCAAGGACTTCAGTGCCTTGCCTCCTCTAATGGATCCCCCATGCATGGATTCTAACATGAGGCCTGATTCCAGCTTCATCCACCATGATCAACTCTATGACTTCAAAGCTATTCCTCCTGCCTTCTTCACTGCGATGGCTGCCGAAGATCAACAAGTGATGAACCACCAGATGAGCTCCTCCAATCCACCTCAGAATTCAGTTCTCCACTACCCACTCCTGGTCTCGGCAAAACCGGGCTACTTGCACCATGATGAAGCAATGCCAAGTGAGGTAGCTGCTGCAGCCATGAGGAAGCACTGTCAATCCATCGGCTGCCCCTCGCAGGAAACAGGAGTGAGCACTGACCACAACACCGAGATATCCTCGATCATGTCGAAGCACTACGAAGATTTCGAGGAACCCTGGGCAAGTTTTGGATTCTGAGAACGTTTCTGAAAGAACTTGAGACTGATTTGTGTGTTAGCAACCATTTTTAGGGTCTCGTTGATCTGCCCAAATCCACTTCTCATGCCTTATTTATCGCAGAGAGAGGAGGCCTTGTGGTTTAGATATATGCTCTCTCACTGTACAGAGAGTTCTAATTCTCGTATGCGTACAGATTAAACTCTTCTATAGATGAAAGAAATGTTGAATTAGTTGGTCTCATCAACCACAATGTAACTACCGGACTCGTCATTCGTACCTTCTTTATATAGGAGTACTGTTCTTTGGCTTCTCCAACCTCTCCAAAATCTAGCAACATGTGGTCTATCCAGCTCAAGATTTGTTCATAGATATCATGAGAATCTTGGCTAGATATTCTTGTCAGCAGCAAATATGAAGCTCCTGAGCACATCCCTCAAACTTCATCAACTCATTGATAATAGGATTCAAAGGGGGATAGTGACTGGCCAAGAGATGCGCAATAAGAAATTATTTAGGGTTCAGCAAAAGGTCAGGAGATATGGATGCAAGTGCAAGTGGTGAGGTGCTCTATTCATGTGATATGCTTGACCCTCATCAGCCAGGTTTTTGTCTAATGGGATAAGGATAAAACACACTTCTCCTTTGGGCAAAAGAATTTGGAATAAATTAGCACAATAGTCTCACCAACAGCCATTTTTAGCCACTTGATCTCAAAGAAGCTAATCGAATTCTTGTTCTGTAAACTACAATAGTATTTGCAATCATCAAATAATGGTATTTGCCTTTGTAATGATACTATGAACGCTTCCTTGGGACTTAAACATTAGGAAGAAACCAAGAAAATAGTCTCACATACTCCCATTTGCAACCACTTGATTCCAAGCAAGCCAACCAAGAAAGTAGAGTTTGTACTCATGAAGTAGAAGCCTTTGCCTTTATGATAACGCTGTATATGCTTCCTTAGGGCATAGGAATTAGGAAGAAACTAGGAAAAGAGTCTCACAAACTGCTATTTGCAGGCATTACAAACTAAATAGAGTTTACAATCATGAAATAGAGGTCTTTGACTTTACAATAATACTATGCATACTTCCTCGGCACTTAAAAATTGCTATTCGAACTACATGATTCCAAGGAAGACAAACAAATCTTTATTAGAAAATTTAATAGAGTTTGTAATCATAGTGGTAACGTGTTCATTAGACCTATTTTAAGGTGGATAATTTTGTGATTCGAGATCATGTTTTGTGAATGGATCATTGAGTGATTGATGATGGCTTAATTGTCATATTCATGTAATACGTTCATACGTACACGCATACATAGCAACCACATGTAGAAATATATTGGTATTTTACATACACATACATAGCTTACCTATATTGTAAGACATCATAATCCAATATTTGATTGGCTCTGTAAGTACTTATTGAATGACTCTTAGACTTATACTTGTGCACGTTCTTAGGCTTAGGACAGGACGATCTTTCGATGTCCTTCTCTTGGTCATGAATTAATGGTGAAAATTAGTAACATTTTTAGTACAAGCTATCTTAATTGATTATTATATTTGTTTGATGCGTGAATGACTTACCAACCTATCTTTCCAAGTTGAGAGTTGGAATTCTCGCTACGATGCATGATGTGCTTGTTGTTCTTTGGTCCTCAACAATAAACCTTTTCCTCGGATGGGATCTGTTGTGCTCGAAAAGAAAGAGAACAACTGATCGAGGTTTTATTTTGACTGAAAACATGATGGAATTGTAAGGTGGATCCTTACGATCTCAGATGCACAAGAACCGGCCACAAGCGAATGAGATGCGTTTGTCCTGTCTGATCACCGCAGAAAAGTGTTGCCAGCTGCGACTCATGTTGTAAATGGCATCTTACAATCGGTACGTCAGATCGACAACGTGTGCTCAAAACTAACCTTCCCGGACTTCCGGTGGGGTCAGCTGATGACATCGCAGTCTCCAATGGGGCGACATCCACCGTGTGGGTCCCGCCTCCTTCCCGGACGCACCCGAAGGGCGATATCAATAGAGAAAGACGGCAAAGATATGGGGAAGACTTGCCGCAATGGCAAAGCTGATGCTGAGGTGACGTGGATAGAAGGGGGGCCAAAAGACAGATACTGCTACTACTACTTTTTATGAGATGAGGATGAACTAACCCCATGATTCCATGCTTCACTGATATGAGAGACACATGATTTAACCCCGTTTAATATGTGGATAGAATGGAACCAATATGAAGATAAAGAGTACTCCTCCATGAGATCATATGCTACAATGATATGGAACATGTTCTTCTTGTTTCTTATCTTTGTTGGATGATGTGTTACCTCCCTATCTTGATGCAGATGTGGTTCCCAATCTTTGCATCACTGTGGTAAGATATCATCATCCTCTCTCTCTCTCTCTCTCTCTCTTTGCAGATGAGTTTGACTTGAATATTTTCTTGGTGTAACTCATTCATGGATAGGTGGTGTAGGCCACGGATAAGACATGACCTGAGAACAATGGATGTGAAACCCCATGGAGGATTCAGATTATGTAGAGAGATGAATCCCAGCAATGACACGAGAGTAAAATGGATGTCTAGTGAGGATCAAACACAGAAAAATCAACATGAAAGACAAGTAGGAAGCTGACTCAGTGAATTGACCAAATGAAGCCAAAACAAGAACAAACACTCCTACACTGGTAGTCATCTCCCAAAAACCATCATCACAGGTGTTTGGTCTGGATCATCTTCTTTTTACTGTTTCGAAAAGAAGATCAACAGCACCATGAAAAATCCTATTGAGATGTTGTCCTATGTGATCCTCATGTTTGAAATTTCTATCAGGTATGAGTTGTACCAAAAGCTTCCTGCTTTAGGTTAAGGTAGATGACCAAATAAACTTCAATAGTAGTGCTCCCACTACACCTCACCTACTCCCATTAAGATAGCTCATTGAAGTGGCTGATCTCCATTAACCACATGATGGAGACTGTTCACCTTTCCTAGCTTTGCATTTGCTCCCTCTTGATTCACCTTGATGTCATGCAAGAAAAAAAAATGGATTTGTCACAAGTCTTGTCTGTTCATCGCATTGGACACTCAACAAAGTACTCTTTCTTTCACACTACCGTAGGCTTCAAAGGGAAGAGTTGATTGATGTGACAATCTTGATTTGGAACCCTAAGAAGTTGACAGCACATTTTTTAGGTTATATTAAAAAATATTTTAATACATATAGGTGTGAATTGAATCAAAGTTAAGTCATGAGACAATTTTTTTTTCTTCTTTTCTCGAACCCTCTTATATCAAATATAACAAATCTTAAGTATAATCGGTTGATAATATGTAGGTTATATCTCTTTGTTGATAGTCAGATTAGGTCAAGTCGGATTGAGTTAATTAGTAAGATTGAGTGAACATAAACATTAAACAAAGATTGATTGATATCACATGTGTGCTATTCTTCTTATTTATATTAATGATTTTTTATGTCATGAAAATGACTATTGCCATGACAAAATTTGGATTGCTTAATTGGGCTATTATTCTCTATTTTATCAAAAAATTTATCTCCCTTTGTTTTTATTTGTAGGTATTGGCTAATTATTGGTTGGATGTTGCAAGGCTCAAGGAAAACCAATTTGGAAGTCCAATAGTGGTCCGGTCCAATCCAATTAGCTTGGTTCTTATTTGGACCATAAACAGGGACGAACCACACCGAGTCAAGATGTTGAATCTATGCCTCTTTAGCTATCCTAAATGTTCAACTGCACAGCACCAATTCCTTCTTATCTATGAATTCTCTGCAACGATATGTTTTCTTTTTTCTTACAAGGGAGATCAAAACATTGGATTCACACAACTCTATTGTTTCCGAGACATACAATTCCCACCGAATAAATAATTTTCTTTTGTGAAAAAAAGCCATACTCGTCGGGGATTATTTATTTTTCTAATGCAATTTTAGGACACTACTGTTCTCAAAAGTTTAGGCTATTGGTTTGTGGGAGAGTAACAATTTTTAGTTCAAGCTTTTAGAACTTTGCATGCCATGTTCATCAATCAATTTAACAAAGATTAATTGATATGAGGTGCTAATAGTCATCTTGTGGCTCATCAAAAATTGATAAGCTTGTTTGGTTGTACAAATTATGATTTACTGTTATATCATTCATATCGTATTATATATGATGATCATAATATTCCAACTATGTCCGTGATAAATAATTTTAAAGCAACGGAAGCAATCAATTAAATATCATGGCGAGACAGTATGATAAACCTAGCAAACATATGTAGGAAGAATAGTTAGATCGTAACCTAAGAAGGATAAATAAGTAGCCTCTTAGTATCCTAACCATAATGTGCTCGCAAATGGTTAGTCTATTCACAAACTACAAATTCAAATTTTATTATTAATAATATAATAAGTGATTATTGTAAATCAACATCTCAATAATCCATTATTTCAAGTTAATATGATATCTTATATGTGAGTACGTAGTCTTTCGTCCTCTATAAATATCTTATCATTTTTTTATAATTTTTTAATATTTCATTCTTACATTATTTTCATATTTATCCAACATTCCAACTACAAAATTAATATATTATCTCGTGTGTGTTTGAACAAATAGACTTTAAACTTTAAACTGTGTGAAAATATCTTTCTTTTACAGGTTATTTTTAGAATATTGGCTTTAACCAAAATTTTCATGTCTAGTAATAGATATATTATTAACTGAATAAAGTTGCATACTAAATCGTTTTAAGATTTGGTCAATATACTCTTTCTAAAATAGTCTTCATAATTCTTAAGATCTATCCATAAATATCTCAATGCCAATAATATAAAGTATCTCATTCATATTAATAGTTTTAAAATTCTTAATAAGAAGTACGTTGGATTTATGCAATAAACTAAAATTACTATTGACAAGCAAAATATCATCAACATATAAGATCAATATAAGAAATTTACTTTTACTTACTTTTAAATATATATTGATCAATAAACTTTTTCTTAAATTTTAAGAAATTATAGTAATATGAAACTTTATATACAATTGTATAGAAGCTTCTTTAAACTATAAATAGATTTTCTTAGTTTATAAATTGAACTTTCCATTCTTTTTTTAACGAATCCTTTAGGATGTCTCATCTTAGCAATAAGAGTGCGATTTCATCTTTTAGCAATGTTATTTTGTTATGATATACCTGATAAAGTATATTGATTACAAATATCTCATTTTTGTATGAACCTA